TGCATAAAGAATAGCCTAAACTACAGTGTCTTTGGACTGAACAATAAGCAGCAGAATGCCATATGCCTTCAAGGGGAGCTTTCCCCCTCCTGTTATGGGAATTTTCTGATGAGAATGTTATGGATTCTGGAGGATGGTTTCCTGTCAGTGGTTTGAGGTATTTGGTGAAGTGGCACCACACAGGGTCCTACCAGCTATATCCTGGTAAGCTAATATCTTCGCAGCAGTGCCGAATGATGTAAAGGGTATTCTGTTATTATTTTCTTCACTAGCCAATTCATGGACCTTCATGAAGGAAATTGTTAAAGATTATACTAGATGTTTGTGAGGAGAAGCAGAGTAGATTATACCTGTGTGTGTATTAGTGTCACTTATCCTTTTCACTGATATTATCATTTCATACTGCATTGAAGACTATGTATGTAATGTCAGTATATATAAGGTCTATATGTGCTATATATGCTACTATATATGCTTTATTGGTATTACTAATTAAAATTACAGTAGAAAAATTGTGTATAAAATTCAAAGACTGCAAATAGTTGCTTTGAGTTAACAAATTATGTTTTTTATTGCACATTCTTGTATAGAACCATATTTAAAAAATATCTTGCTTTACTTGTATCCTACAATGTTCTAAAAGCGTTTTAGGTTTTTTCAATTCGGCACCTTGAATTGAAGATATTTTCCTGCATACAGTATTGAATGACCATAAAGCCTGCATGGTATTCTGTGACAGTGAAATGAACATGGTATTTCATGGATGGATATTCTTCTCTCTGCAAGTGTAAACCTTATGGGATATTAGAGCTTGCTTCTACATGCATGACTTATAGACCTGATAGAGGTATAATTACAGTTTGAGGAGGCAGGTTTTATCATGTCTCAATGACAACACTCACAAGTTCATAGGTAATACAACCAAACACTTGTATTTGTATTTGTAAGCCAACTGCAAACTTGCCTCTCTAGTCTAAGCAAACACCTTTATAGCTGTTGAACCATATGGTAGCCTGAATTTTTTCTATCTAAAAATGATGCCGTGTTTTTTACTCTGTATGTTTAAGGTAAAGTAAGGTTTCAACGCTGGGGCCCTGGGTTCAATTCTTCAAGTCCTGGGGTGGTGTAGAATTTATTTGTTCTCCCCATGTTCACCTGGGTTTTCTCTGTGTGCTTCAGTTTTACTCCCACAGTCCAAAGCCATAATGGTATGATCATTGGCTTTTTGGCAAATTGGCTCTGGTGTGTGTTTGTGTCTGTGTGCCCTCTGATGGGATTGACGTCCTGTCCAGGGTGTATCCTGCCTTGCGCCCACTGCTTGCTGGGATAGGCTCTGGCTCCCCTGCAACCATGTACTGGTTATGCGATTAGAAAATAAATGGATGGGTGTGTGTGTTTCCTAATGTTTAGCAAATGTGATATAGTATTAGTGACACGAATTAAAAAGTAAAAAGTTTGTATATTTATGATGTGAAAGGTACAGGAACAATTTTCATTGACTGTGTTTATCACAATTGCAAAAAATGAAGTCAAGAGATCCAGTTAGTATATATTATATATGTAAAGGAACAAGTAATAGGTTTATTCCATGCTGAAAAAAAGAAGAAAGAGAACACAACGTTTCGGCCGTGGAGCCTTCTTCAGGAGCCTTCTTCACACACCTGAAGAAGGCTCCTGAAGAAGGCTCCTCGGCCGAAACGTTGTGTTCTCTTTCTTCTTTTTTTCAGCATGGAATAAACCTATTACTTGTTCCTTTGCAGCCTACGCATGCTGACGCAGCTACCCACCTGAACTATTATATATGTATATATTTATCTCTTTTAATAGTGTTTTTCAGCTGAATAAACATCATTTGTGATTTAAAGGACTTCCTGCAATAAGGGACTTCCCTTCCCCCCATTAAACCGAAGGTTTACTGTAATAGGAATAAACGTGCTGAGATTGAACAGCATTAACCAGTTCTGTTGTTTTTGAATGTCAGATTGTATACTTTGTTACTGTCCTACCTTATACCGGTAAGAGTAACAGCTTCCTAATGTTAAAAACAGTTTTGCAAGAGGCTCCAATACAATTCCTTGTTTCTGCTAGGTCTCTGTAATGAAAAAAAGTTACAGGTAGATGGTTTTTCTGTTAAAAATTAGCATGTCACTATACAATTATGAAAGTTAGATGAAGCAGTATTTTTCAGTAATGGTTTCTGTCTGGGGTTCTATTGGATTTTGCAGCCTGCAGGCCTGAGTGTTTCCACGTTCTGTCTGTAAACCAACAGTGAGTTCACAACGGGCTGCAGATACACTGCATTCCAATCAACAGCCTATCCAGCTGCTGGATGGATGCTTATCAGAATATGACATCATTGAGAGCTGTGTCTGTCCTCCACTTGACAGCGACACAACATTATCCTGTCACAATGCATTGGTCCTGTCATAGAGAAGTATTGGTCCTGTCCCATTTTTACAGAACATGTGCAAGTATAATTGCCTTCAGTTTTCATACAAGATGGGTAGCAAGATGGTCTTAATAACCTCTTGACATTCTTATCAGTGACATTTCTTATACCCCGAGACAAAATGGTGGCACAGCAGTGTGTTGGGTTGAAAGCCAGTGGTAAATTATAAAAGGAGAAATCTTATGTTTTGTACTTAAAAATGTTAATTATGTATGTGCAAATATCCATACTGTATGTATATCCAATTTGAAATCATTAACAAAATGGAGGAAAAGTGAGTAATGTAAATATAAAAAGTTTTGAATAGGGGGAGAAGGAAATGTCATATTAAAAGAGCATAGAAATCAAAGTTGTAACTAATCAGTGTTACTGCTATGGGCAAACTGCAGCTACTGAGAAATGTTTGCTGAGGAGAAAAAACAAAAGTTAAAGGACCAGAAATGGTTAAAACAGTTACACTACCTACTGTATTGAAACCATGACCTAAAATAAGTTAAATTACTTTAGCTTTTCTTGAAGTATGGTTTTTCTCCTTCCATGTAGAGAAGTACTATAACCTGACATCTTTTTGGAAAGTTTTGTTTTTTCCTTAGCATCTTATACTGTTAATTAAAATACCAGTTTCACAAACACCATCAGAATCTTACATACTGTATACCACTGGGTGAAACATGAAGGTAGGCTTAATCATGCCCACAGGAGGAATCTTGACAAGTTAAAATCCCCTACAGCATGTATTTCCAGTGCTGCAAATATATAAATTGCCCCCTTAATAACATTTTTAAACACTTTACCCTGTTCTTGTTCTTTAGTGTGCTTGTACAGCATGGTATATTGATTTTTTTCCCACATTAAATTTAAAACTGAAACTTTTACGTATTGGGAAAAAGAATGCTAAAATAGTAACGAATAAAGTAGGCTAATAACATGGTGCAAAGTAAAATGCAGGAAAATAAGCAATGTTTCAGAACTGTGGAGCCTCTTTAGTTATATGGGGGAATAAGGAATAGATCAGAATTATAAGAATAAGGAGAACAAAAGGAAGACATTGTGAAAATACTTGGAAAATCTAGGGGAGGGAGAACAAAGCCCAGTATGTACTTGGGTAAGAATTTGTTTCCTAAACAGTGGTTAGTAGTCAGCAATTTGTCTTTGTTTACCTTTACACAAAAGTAATTTTAATTTGTTCAGCTAATTGATGACTGTTAGACTACTTTGCAAGTCAGTCTTATGGGAGGAGCTGGAAAAGGTGTTAATTATTGTCAGTAAAGGCGATAACATTTACGAGCTGTAGAGAAATAGCACAGCTGTTTCTCATCTCTAAAGATACAGTTCTCTGCATCAAAGTAAGCTTAACATTTGATACTTAAAAACAGTGGTGTTAAAACAAATGTTCTGGAACTTGCTCAGCATTTAGAGCACCCTAGAGGAACACCCAACACTCAGATTACATCGGCTGTAACAGCCAGAAACTCTAAATCCTGAATGAAAATGTGAATACACTGGAGAAAGAACTAAATGAACTCAAAGGGCTCCAAGACAGGGAAGAAGTGACAACACCAACATTCGCAAAGGCTTGCACTCTGGATTATCAGAGAAATATCATGGAGACATATTGCTGGTCTGGAATGAGTCCAGAGAAGAACAAGTATATTCTGGGGTTTAATTGAATATCCTGCACTGACAGGTGGAAGGAATTTTAACTTTTTCAGTCTTGAACAGAAGATTACAAAGGAACATGATAAAAGTATTCAATCCATTTCCAAATTAAACCCAGAATGAATACTGAAACACGAACCAACACAGGTCCGGACTCAAAGCCGAGAACAAATGGCGCCTCCTTACCCAAAGCTGTGGGAGAAGTGGAGTATGGAACAAACTGGCTTGTTTTTCGAATTGGGTGAATGAAACACTTGAATCAATTAGTTACTAACTAGGAAATGAGCCGGGTTGATTGGCCTTATCACATGTGTCATCTGTCATCTGTTCTGATGTATGGAGGGAGGTGAGAATGGGGATTCATGGATATGGAAATGTGGGAGAATTCCAGAGGAAGTCAGAAATTCTTTAACAATCTGAGAGATTTTTTAAAGGAATTGGTCAATCATTGAGAGCTGTGGGACAGGGAGACACGGATTTAAGGATATTTGTGGCTTTGTAAAGTCTTTCTAGAGCAGGACTCTTTGAATGCCATCAAAACGAAAGACTGAATGGCCAGTGTAATAATGGCTGGGACAGGTAAAGGGGAACCTAAAGTCTTGGAGACATCTCTGATCCTCTCTGCTTTGATGTTTCCCAAAACAATCGGCCAGTCCAGTCTTCTTCCTGGTTCTCATGCCGTTTAAATTGACAGATGTTGATTGTTTTGCTTTACCATGCCACTGTTATTTTTTTCGGTTTTGTAGAAGATGAGTAAAATTCCAATCACTGACAGTTTTGAAGAAGTCATCATATCTACCTACTCAGATCTTCTTTTCTTTGTGAATTCGAAGAAATCCTGTGTTTTTACTGTTTTTGACATGGAACTTTTTTTCCCCATGTCATTCTACAGAGTTGAACAGTGTAGACTTGAAGGGGTGTGGCAGTGAAAACAGCCTGAACAGCAATGCAAGTCTTCCGAGTGTCCAGAGCCACCGGAGACACACCGAGAGGCGTGTGGCGAGCTGGGCTGTCTGTTTCGAACGACTTCTGCAGGACCGTGTTGGTGTCAGGTATTTCTCGGTATGCCCATTCGATTTCTCTTTGCGTGAAAGCCACTGTAGAGCATGTGAGATCTTTTTTGTATCTTTTTTTTTTTTCCCCACAGAGTTCTAAAATATCAGCTGTCGCTAGTTTACAACCAAATATTTAATCGGAATGAACTGGACAAAAGATTAAAGTCCGTTTTATTTTGTTTGAATAACCTATGTTAATACTGTATGTTTAATCAAATAATGTTTTGTATTTTGTTTCTTCAGGAATTTCTTAAGAAGGAATTTAGTGAAGAAAATATTTTATTCTGGCAGGCCTGTGAATTTTTCAGCCATGTTCCAGAAAATGACAAAAAGCAGGTAAAAGCACTAAATAAAGATGAAGAAATATTTAAATAAAGAGTTTATTGCTTTATGGCTTATTATTGTATGGAACCATTTTAGCTAATAAAGATATTGCATCTTTCAGTATAAAAAAAGGTATTTTGGAGAAATATCCAAAGCTGTGCTTATATTTTTCTGTTCTTCTGTTATTCTAATAACTCAACTATTGTACCCTCCACAGTTATGGGACAGGAAAGTCTAAATTGTGATTTTCACTATGAACCCCTAATTATAATAATAATTTCTCATGAAAACAGAAGTCCTGTTAGAAGTACTTTCGGTACTTTCACTCAAAAATGAGTTACTGTGTGTAGCTGAAAGCCAAAATGGAAATAAAATACTTTTTTGACAAAGAGAAAGGACCATTTGGAATATGCAAGAGAAGAAAAACACAATCAGAACCTTGGCACAAAATTTGGATCTTCCAAAATCAAAAATCAGAGAATCTACTGATGTAGGAAGAGACTACAGGTTACCAATCGGCCAAAATAAACATCTGCGGTTGATGATCGAAAAATTATAAGGGTTGTCAAGGGAAACCCTAAAACCACCCTTAAATTTAATAACGACCTCCAGTGTGCAGAGGTGAATGCAATCCACAGTTTGTAGAAGACTAAGATTTTAAAGAAAACGCTGTGCTTATTGGATGGTGTTTCACCATGCAGCATAAGAATGACTCAATATTAATGTCCAATGCTGCCAAGGAGTTCATCAAGTGACAAATCTAAGTCTGGACAAGATTTAAATAAAATTGAGAATGCCTTTTGCATGCGTAAGAACAAATTCACAAACCCTGACCAGACAGTGGGTCATAGAATTCATCCACTTACTGCCTTTTGGTCACTTGAAATCACTAGGTTGAAGTTTATTTTTGTATTAAATGTATTAATGGAATGACTTAGAACCAAAACATTTATTATATTGTACTGTACTTGTCATTCCTATTAGGTTCGTGACCAGATTGCTTGATTTTAAAGCAGAAAGAACAGTTTTGACTTTGCTGCCATAATGCTTTTGGAGGGCACTGTAGATAAGGCTTTTAAAATGACATTTTTTGATAAATTAGATGTTCAAGCATGCATTTCAGATTTAAGACAGATTGATAGCCCTAATTGTATTTTTCTGTCCTAAGCTTTCACAGAGAGCCAGGGAGATCTATAACAGTTTCTTATCCAGCAAGGCCACAACCCCAGTTAATATTGATAGCCAGGCCCAGCTGGCTGATGACATCCTAAACGCACCACGTCCAGATATGTTTAAGGAACAGCAGCTTCAGGTTGGTAATACTAAATTGTAAAAATTTAAAAGGAACTATTCTGTTAAATGATCTGTGCCATATAAAATAATAGGCCATTCTGCAGTAACCATATTCTGGAGAGTGTAGAAGCTCAGTTTAAAGTATGTGAAATGTTAGTGTAATGCTAGGATGTACACTGTTACAGACAAAACAGTAATTTTACGGAATGATAAGCTAAGAATCACTGCTCCTTGCTTTTAAATGAACACCAGAAACTGTGAAGTCTCAGACTTAAGTATTGTCTCACCTATCTGAAGCCCAATAACAGTAATTGGAAACAATGTTCAATGTTCAATAAAACCTGGAAACTGTTAATAAGAATGGCTTGATGTGATCTGTATGAAATAAATTAACTAGTGGTCAGCAAAGAAGGTTAGTGGATTTGTAATATCTTTTTCAAACCTCTGTTTCAGATCTTCAACCTGATGAAGTTCGATAGCTATACCAGGTTCCTCAAGTCCTCATTGTACCAGGAGTGCATGCTGGCGGAAGTGGAAGGCCGACCCCTGCCAGACCCCTGCCAGGTGCCGGGCAGCCCGGCTTCTAAGCGTAGCGTTGGCTCGGACCGGCCCAACTCCTCTACCCCAAAACAGGTACCAGACACCACTTACCCGCTGCCAGCAGAGGAATCCTACTCCGTTGGGTCCCTGAGCAAGGCCCTTAACCCCAGCTGCTTCAGGGCTGCCGTATAAATGGCTGACCCTGCTCTCTGACCCCAAGCTTCTCTCCCTGTCTGTGTATCTCATGGAGAGCAAGCTGGGGTATGCGAAAAGACAAATTCCTAATGCACTAAATTGTATATGGCTAATAAAGTGATCTTCTTCCTCTTACTCTTTGATTGCTGTGGGGTTTCCCGACTGCCTGTATTCAGGCTTAGCTAGCTGACAGCTCATATACTGTATCTTGTAACTGACTGTCATGGAGTATTCATCCATCCATCCATCCATCCATCTTCTAACCGCGAAGGGCGTAAGGTGGGGTACGCCCAGAATGAGACGTCAGTCAATTGCTGAGCAGACAAGCCCAGTCACGCACTCACAACGGGGCCAGTTTTCCCCAGAAGCCAATTAACCAACCAGTATGCGTTAGGACTGTGGGAGGAAACCGGAGCACCCAGAGGAAACCCACGTGAACACAGGGAGAGTTCCACACTTATAGCACCTGAGGTCCGGAACTGAACCCAAGGCCCCTGCACCGCAAAACAGCGATTCTAATGCTTGTTTTCTCAGCGCTACATGTGTGCCTTTTATGATTGCGATACACTTGAGAACCCAGGTCACTTGATCTTACAGCAAAAGCAAACAAGGAAGGACATGAATTCTGTAGCAGTTCCAAAATGTTTCCAGATGTTCAGTTTATAAAACAAAATTTAATGACCAGGGTGAAACAATTAAATTAGATCAAAAGGCAGAATAGTAAGCAGTTCATCTAAGTGAAATCTTTGAACTAGGAAACTTATCCTGTTTTTTGTTTTGTTGACTGTGCTGATAAACTTGTAAATGCTTGAGTATTTACCCCTGACTTATTACTTTTCTTAAAAGTACCACGGGAACAGAAAATATTGAGAAGATCGTATTCAAGAACAAAAGCATTAACTGATTAACAGGGTTCTTACTGTTAAAGCAATGTAACAGCACCTTATTGTATTATATTATTAGATTTGATCACAATTAAGATCTCAAAACACTTTACCATAATGATCCAGTTGAGTCAACAATCATAACTGAAACGTTAACTTTAATACTCAACTGTTCAACAAAACCTTGCAAAGAGCTTTGGTTAATTATTTTACAAGAAAGAACAATCTATTTTAAAAATCCTTTGAAATATTCTTATTGACTCAAGTTTTCTTTTTTAATTAGTTAACTTCCCTGCAGTGACTCCCTTTCATTAATTGTTCATTCAGTCCTCGCTTTCAATTAGAATTAAATTTTTGCAAGGTGATCATAATCTCTTCATATTTTTTATGTACATCAATGCTTTGATTTGAATGAATCTTCAGTGATTCATTAGACTCAAGAAAGGAATTAAACGTTAATGGTAGTTTTATGTGAAACTGCTTTGCCAGGCAGTTAAGTAGGTGATTATAAAACTTTAAATTAGACTTCTGAAGTTATCTAGTGTTTGTTTTAAATGGAATGCAGTGTGCAATAGAAAGAGGCAATAGAAAGGCATTTGTATTGCTAGTATTTAAGGTGTGATATCAGGAACACTCAGCACTTGCACTGAATAGGGGGCTGTTTGAAACTTTGGAATGCTAAGCATTCATGTCAAAATGTGAAGAGATGCCATCAGTCATGAGTAATAGTTTACTCGAAGCTATAAATAATGTTTGCTAGTTATTAGCATTTTTGTATGCTTTTTTTGAAGACCCCTAGACATGTAAGGAAATAAACATTTACAGAAGAGACTTTATACTAGATAATAGAATAAGATTTTGATAGAGCATATTGATTTTCAAAAGAGATTTAAAATAGGGAATTGAAAGTCTCTCTTGTAAACAAAATGTGGTGTATTTTATAGTTTTAATAGGTGTTTTTTTTTATTTTAAAAAAAATCTCTCTTTTCACAGGAAGGAAAGAAACCTAAGTCTGGGAGATCATTAAATGAAGACTACAAAGAAGAACATGCTGATAAAAAAAGAGGAATATTCTTTTCCTGGTCCCGGAACAGGAGTTTTGGAAAGGGACCTAAAAAGAGAGAGATTGGTGAAATCAATAATGGTAAGTGGAAAAACTGCTTGTCAGGCAGGGGCTGTTTTTCAGATGATACCATTGAATAAGCGTGCAGTTGATTGTGTTTGGTCTGACAGTGTTGTCCTGCAAAAGAATTGGGTTGCAGCATTTTTTCAACCATTCAGTTCTGAATCAAGCTTTCTATATATGCAGAATGTGATGGCAGCAGGAAGTCTTTCATCCAGTCTGTCCTTTTATTTACTCATGCCACTCTTTGTAATTTGACAGATTTCTCGGGCAGTAATGGGAGACGGGAATCACAAGGGTCTTTGTCCTCCGGTGCTAGCCTGGATCTGGGCACCTCCAGTTCCATGGCAAAGAATGAGGTGAGTATATCATGTGTTTAAGCGGAGATTTCTATATGTGATGATATAATATAAAAATTAAATACAAAACGGATTACCATCAGTATCGTCATTAAATCAGACAAAGTCCTGACATAGTATATGTGCCGAACTTTTATTAAAGTCTAATTAAATTCTGATTTGTTACAAGTAAGTTCCTGACTGTGACTGGTACAGTAGTAGCACTTTGTCAGCATGCAAGTCGCACAGTTTATTAAACTCCATAGACACCATCAGAAAAAAACAGGGCCATTCATGATAGGCTAGGGATCGGGCTGTCACTGGATGTCAGTCCTCATCATTTGATTATGCCAGATTCCGTCTGGACTCTCCTGTCAGTTTTTCCTGGGGCCCTCAGCCTGTAGCAGATCACGAGATTTATGCGGGAGATCGATGGTGGTATGACTATTGCAGACAGTTGTATGTTATTTCATAGAGAGAAGTTATAGAATTATATCCGGTCCAAGCTTAGTTTTTGTTGATGATGTTGAGCAAACAGCAAAGAAACAGCTACTGAGAGTATTCAGGATTTCAGGATTCATGTACACAAGACTGAGGCTAGCTCCCTCAACAAGGTGTTACAGAACAGCAGCATTGTGTTCTGTGGCAGAAGTACGTGGTACTGAACATATGCAGACATGACAAATGACAGAATTATTTAAGAAGGAGCCCTTCTTTTTATTAGGCATGTCTAAATTGTATACTGAATAAATGCTTTAAAAGTGTATGAAATGTGTGAAAATGTCCTAGCTGAACTTGTGTGCCTGTGCACTGTGTGAATAGTTGCTTTGCCATAATTGGTATATTCCTGCAAAAAAGGACACTGATTTAATTTTACATTGTGTTCTTTCAAATGGTATTATGCACCTTTGGTTTATTTATTTTTCACTTCCATTTCTTTTCAAGCATTTTATCAGATAATTGGTACATGTTAGAAGTATGTAACGCAATTTGTTAAATGAAATTATTTATTAATTTACTAATTTAGTTTTCACACCCTGAGAATTGTTTCTTGCTCTTAATGTCCATTGTTAAAAATAAGAATGAATATGAACACATCTTTAAATTAACATAATCTTTTTAAATTTTGATAGCTCGTGTAATAATTAAGCAGTTTTAGCAATTCTTTTAATACAGAATTCTTAGGAAAGAAAGCAGACACGTTCAGATAGGATTTTCCACATATTGTCTAAAAGAGAGGAACAGACAGCTACTGCAGTGTTTGTGGCCACTCTGTTTTTGAAGTTTTCTTAAGATAATCTCTTCTGGAAAGCAGAAATTCGTAACTAAGTAGAGATACCTTCTTGAAAAACACAGAAGTAAGACAGTCTCCCTAGACAAGCTGCACACAACAATTGTGTAATTGTGAAATTGTGTATTTTAGGTGTATGTGTGTATGAATTTATGAATGTTTTCAAATAAAAATTCAAAATCTTCTATAATGTACATTTTTGGTTTGAACTGCAAATTGATTATTTCTAATTAAATTCTCTGCAGAATGATGCCTCTGTGTCGGTCTCTGAGAAGGAGAGGTCTCTCAAGCAGTGCAATATTAATCTCCCAGATGGCTCGTCTTGTGCTGTCCCTATCCGCCCGGGAATCTCCATCAGGGAGCTGCTTCTGGGGCTCTGTGAGAAGCTCTGCATTAACTTAGCTGCTGTGGACCTCTTTTTGGTTGGAGGTGAAAAGGTACAGCCTGACTTTTTTTCGTGTCTTTCTTTGTGTTTTTTTTAATGAATTGACCATAATGTGATTAACAAATGTTTTAGAAACCCATCCCCCTTTTTAAGGAAAATAATATTGTGTCCTTGGGGACTATACACTGGGACACATTCAACCTTCTGAAGTGAACAAGTAATCATTTAAGCTATTTTTATGTTTCCAATATTGTAATAGTTTTAACCAAAGGTCTTAATTATTGAAAAGAAATTATTAGACAACCTTAATTATTTTCAGACATAATCTGCTTAATATCACAGTGAACCAACCAAGTAGAAACCATTGAATTATTCAGGGTCTTCCGAACCATTTGTAGTTCAAAGTTTACATTATTTGCAAAGAAAATCATAGAATTGAATGCTGAACACTATTTTTGTTCTTGCACATTATTAAACAACATTTTTTTTTAATTAAACATTTCAAGGCACTGCTGTAGCCAAGGTCATTTATTCGCTATTTATGAACTCAACACAGAATAGTTTTGTGCGTTTACAAAGTAAATCACTAATGACTAATGAGCACTTATAAGTAAGATAGGAGGTTGTTGACCATACAAAGCGTTTTTAGCACACAGTTCCAGGAACAGTAAGCATCAAATTAAACAAAGATTTACAGATTGGACAATGTTTCTTTCATAAAAAAATGTTACACAGTAATAGCATTACACCGAGCAAAGTCATATTTGTTAGAATTAAAGTGCAGAAAACTGTCATGTTTATTCACAACCCTGTAGTTAGTATTTTGTCAAACCTCCAATTGCAGAGACCCCACCAACAAAACATTTCAGCTAATGTGCTATGAGGCTCTGGTATAAAACATTTCACAATGGGCATGAGTCTTTTCTCAACATGAGCTTCAGTGATTTTATGCCAAATATAAGGCTGATGTTGCCCCGTGACCCTAGATAAAGTGGCTAGAAAATGAATTGATGGAAAGGGCTGACAATGATTTACATTTCATGAGCCCATAAGACCATTGATCTGTTGTCATTCAAATTATGTTTGGCAAGTTTGAGTTACCTCTTTTTGTGGTTTTGCCATCAGAAAAGGCTTGAAACCCAGATATGAATGCCACATTCATGTAGGTGACTTTGAGTGGTAGTTCCCATAATATGTATCCTGAAGGTGCTGGTTTGTATTGGAGATTGCTCACTGTTGCCTTTGGATATGTAGTTGCCTCTCTAACCAGTTGTTTCACTGACTTAATAATGGACACTACAGTAGAAAGTGATGGATTCAGCATTTTAATGATAGCTTTATAGCCATCCCCAATTCTGGAGGTCAGTTGCCATTTGTCAGCTCTCTCTAATCTTAACCATGATGATGTTTCCACTACTTAAAGCCGTGGATACATCCTCTTATACAAAGTGCAAACAGGAAATCTTAGAAGACTTCTAAAAAAAACCTCAAGAGGTTTCCATTGCACTTCCAAAGAGTAGAATGTTATTTAAGTATAGTTTTTTTGTTGAAATTTAAAGTAATACTTAAGATGTGTGAATACAGGGGGCCCTCTTGTTTTCTGGAATTCAGTTAATTCTTTATGACAAGTATGAATTTGCTCTGTGTTATTATAAAAATACAGTATAGAATTATCAGCATTTTTCAGCGAGATATGTAACCATTCCCTAACGAATTCTGCTGTCTGATAACTTGAATATAACTTTTTTGCAAGCACATATCATTTTAAGGTTTTTAATTTCGTCCTAATTTTTATGTACTTCAAGCCTCTTGTACTGGACCAAGACTGCATGACCCTGAGTTCACGAGATTTAAGACTAGAAAAACGCACTTTGTTCAGGTAATTGTAATGATTATTTTTAAAGGTCTTTTAATGTGTCTTAGCTTATTGTTAAAAAATGGTTAAATATTCTTGGTTACTGAGAATTGTAGCTTTTATCTCTCTACCACATTTTTTCCCTCATAAATATTTGGAATATTTCCCAGTTGTCAGTGGTTTTGTTTGGATGTTCTTTGGATCATACTTTAGGTGGAGCTAAGAGAATATAGATAACGGAGATGGGTAACAGGAATCATATTTGGTTACTAGAAGTCTGGTTATATGTTGCGAAATTGTTTCCATATTTGTATCGATTGGTATATGAACTGTATAGCCATCAATTTTGCAGAAATATTACATATGAAAAGTTGTTTTTGATTACAGTTTTTTATTTGATTTTTTTTTTCAGATTGGATCTTGTACCTATCAACAGATCTGTTGGATTGAAAGCCAAACCAACAAAACCAGTCACAGAGGTTTTGCGTCCTGTAGTAGCGAAGTATGGCTTACATTTAAGCGACTTGGTGGCCAGAATTGTAAGCAGTCGTTTGATTTGTTGTATAAACTATTCAAAACTGTCCACTTTTTTCTGAAATCCCCTCCAAAAAACAAGTGAATTGTACTTCTTTTGGCGAGTATTGCTCTCCATTGCTTATGACAGTGCCGTGTTTTACTGAGACACTCTGATTTTTATAGAATGAAAAATTGTGTGCAGCTATGTGTGACTCATACTGGCTTGACTGTCAAAAGCAGCTGAAAGAAGGTAGTTATTAACAATGACATTGCACTTAAAATATGCTTGTGCTTGATCCCAGGATTGCCTGCTGTGCTTCCCACGTTTTTAACTTTGTAAATAATTTGGAAATCTGTTTTGTCTTCAATATCTGAGATTCCACAGTGTTTCCTGAAAGGTTCTTGTTCTTTTTTGTTGGATTTTGTGGGTTTTGAAAGATAGATTTTGTCAATTAATCTTCATTCACACAAGGAATATATCAAGTTTGAACTTGTGTTTACTACATTATCTGCTTGAGATTGAAACCAAGATTTAGATGGATTGTTCAGTTTAATCTGTATTCATGTAGAATAAAGTACACACATTTTACTTTGTACACATTTCATACCTAAAATAAGCATATCCTTAATAAAGGGAAATTATTAGCAAAATTATTTTTTGCATTAATTAAAAATAATGCAAATAGTGTTTAATAAGTAGGGTGGTACAGTGGCGCAGTAGTTAGCACTGCTCCCTTGCAGAACTGGGACCCTGGGTTCAATTCTAGACCTGGGGTGCTATCTGTGTGGAGTTTGTATGTTCTCCACATGTTTGCATGGCTTATCTCCGTGTGCTCTGGTTTCCTCCTATAGTCCAAAGACATACTGGCAGGTAATTGGCTTCTGTTGAAACTAGCACTGGTGTGAGTGTGTTTGTGTACTGCCAGGGTGTGTACTACCTTGCGCCTGTTGATTGCTGGGATAAGCTCCGGATCTCCTGCGAACCCAGAATTGGATGAAGGAGTTAGAAAGTAAATTAATGGATTTTAAATCAGTGTGTTTGACCACGTAGACTTACGGGCACGTACATTAATCATTCAGGGGAACAAATATTTTGTTGTTAGACGTTTAAGTTAGTCTCAGTCATCCCTAACATTTCGTTGTGTTTGTGCAGAGTGGAGAGAAGGAACCTTTGGACCTTGGTGTTCCTATATCAAGTCTTGATGGACTGAGAGTAGTCCTGGATGTAGCAGATCATGCTACTGGTAAAGGTAAATGGCAGTACCTGAAAACTATGCTTGTCAATCTTTTGTCTGTTTGACTGAAGCTGAAGCTCAAAGAAACTTTAAACCCTCAACTAAGTCTTACTTTTTAATTCTTCTAATGTCATTTACTGATCCATCGTCATGATGAATTCCGCAATGCTACTGATGCTCCTTCGGTCAGTGTTTATTACAAGATTAAATTTGACATTATAAGAACTAGCTGATCCTTCAGATCAGAATACTGAAATTTCATGGAGAAGACGAGAATATCGACATTTTGTACATCAGTTGTTTTTTTATTTTGTTCCTCATGCTATTAAGTCACCCTCTTTGCCTTACGAGAAAAGGGAACTCAAACGTTTTTAGGTTTTTAAATATCTTAAAAACAGAGCTTTCAATTTTTTAACCTTCATACTGTAGATGTGTGATATGGTGTTCTGTAAGGAACTGCTAGCTATTTTAAATAAGCTTGTGTGTGGGAGGAATCTCAAAATGACAGGTGATGTTGTACATTTTACATTTTAGCACCACAGATATCAAAGACGAAATGGTATTCTAAAAAGCACAGCAGTCAAACTGTGTCCAAAGAAGCTTTTAGTCACAGTATCACAGACCAGTTTTAGGTAGTGTTTATATTTTACAGTAGCCCTGAGACTTCAAAGCTTTGACTAGGTTATTCTATAGCTTTGAAGCTGTGACATGGCAGTTATTGGTTTTTAGTCTTTTTTTAGGTCACCCTGTGTAGATTTCCCTCTTTCATGAAATTAGTATATATTACTTTTCATCTCATCTGTCCTAGTTATAGTTATTTTTTTACTGGAATGTATGGTAATAATGACAGTGACCTTAATCAGTTTCATTTTGTTTTTCCAACAGACAAATCAAAAAGTGTTCCTGTAAAACAATCTCATGCCCCACCTTTAACTACCAGAAGTCATTCAACAACAGTAAGATTTTTTTAAAATATATGCATCTGGGGGTACACTGTTCATTTACAACTGAAAACAAGAATGTATCTTCTTTTACTTACTCTAAAGAAAATTATTCTGCTGCTTTTATACATACTGTGCTGGATTTGCGCATCTGTGTGCTTTCTTTTGTGGTGATATATGATTGGCGTTGTGGAAAATCTTAAAACGGGCTTGCATAGCTTTCTGCAGCTGATTTAACCCCTACCTCTCCGATTACTAGTTTTAAAAACGGATTGCAGTAGTTTAGCCTCTTGGCACATTACAGCTTTTCCTGCTCTAACCATCAAGGGTTTATTTAGGAAAAGATGTTTTGTTTTTGACAGGGTCTTGGGATTATCGGAGAAAGTTACTAAAATATCTGGCGAAGAATCTTTTGGGGGTACTTCTTAGTGGCTCTTTTCAGTCCTCTTGCACCGTCTCTCATGCTTTTTATAGACCTCTACTCACAGTGGGATCAAGTCAGGGGCTCGTGCTGACAGACCTCCCTAAACCAGTGTCGGGACCCCCACCCCTTAATTGGTGCATTCTCATTGTTGTAATCTAGGGAGATGAAAAACCCTCAGGAAAATCCTCTTCTGTGAAAGCCAGAGTGGAAACTGGAAAGGCTTCCAGGGAGGCACGGCAGTTGAGAAAAGAAGAATCAGTTGATAAACTGGGAAAGAGAAAACAGAAAAAGATTAATATAGATGAAGCTGAAGGTAAACCTGCCTTTAAAACGTTATTGTATGCAACAGCTTCATTTATTAGAGTTTAGATGAAAAAGCTTTGCATTCTATCTGTCTATCCCTTTCCCTTTCTGTGGTAAATCTGTCTGCTTAAAAACTCCTTTAACCATACTAATATGTTTTGGAGAGTAGTTCTCTACTGCTGTCTGTGGCTGTCTCGTGTTTAACAAAATAATCACTTTTGCATGCGCACTCCTTGAGAGAAACAAACGTGGTGGGGGGGGGGAGTTCATTTCTGGGAAAAAAAAAGATTTGTGTGTCTTTCCTACAGAATTCTTCGAACTCATATCCAAAGCCCAAAGCAACAGAGCGAACGACCAGCGAGGTCTGCTGAATAAGAAAGACTTAGTGCTGCCCGATTTTCTCCGCCTCGCTCCAGAGCCTGCATGCTCCACCCCAGCGTCCCACAAAACAGGCCACGGGAATGCGAGGGAACCTGGGGGCACGGAAGCCACTGACAGCTCTTCACGCACGGCCCAGAATAACCGATCGGTGGATTCCACTTTCAACTGCGGTGAATATTCAGGTCCCGCTAAGTCTTCATCGGGGCAACACCGACAAGCTTTGATGCCGCCCAATGGCCACAAACCCGAAAAGAAAGAAAACGCCCCTTTCAGCTCCCCACTTTCTCCCATTCTCCACGCTCCAGACACAGGGGGCCCTCAGTGGGAGACGAGAGCCTCGGACTGGAAAACCGACACAATACAGACAGTCGATGATGAGAACATAGCGGACTTGACCTTAGTTGGAGAGGGAGATATCACCAGTCCAAACAGTACTCTTTTGCCACCCTCTCCATTACCGCCGTCTCGTCTAAGCAGCCGGGCCGACCCCAGCTTCGCCCCACCAGCTCCATGTGACAAGAGCGAGGAAACCTATGTTCTCATCCATTCAAGCTCAGGTATTTCAGGAGTGTGATATCTATGTTTGTGACGAGTGCATTGCCTTGGATTGCTGTGACTCAAAAACCAGAGCAAAAATATACAGTAAAATGTTGCAAGTCCAGACATGTCAGGGGAAGGAGGGTGTGGTGTTAAAGGGAGTTTTGAGGTCAGCATTGGGACTTTTAGTTTTTGTCATTTACTTTGTTTTGTGTAAACAGGCAGAGTCTGTTCATATTTCCTATGTAACATGCAGGCTCAATCAAATCACAGTGATGACACACAAATCCTGTACATTGCAATGCTTTACTGCTAGGATTTTGTGTGATCTTGGAATGCCACTACAGTTGTTCACGTTAGCTCGGCTTTTAACGACCAGTTTCTGCAAATTATTGGCATAACTGAACCAATAGTGTCGATCATTAACAACATCTTTAATATTTGCTGGATTAAACACCCCTCCTTTAGTGTGTTAAACCAGCAGTATTACTGAAACAAAAAACATTGGAATTCTTACTAAAACTCTAATCCTACCTTCTGGGTACTCTGATAACACAGTCATATCTATACAACCTTATTTAACATATAACCCACTAGATATGTTAAATAACCATGCAACATGTCCCTGGTGATTTTCTGGTGCAGAGTGAGAAAGTCTTTTAATATTGCTGTTGTAACTTCATGTGTGCCAATTACAAACTTCTGTTCTCTGAGCAATATCATTTGTTGTATTAAGAAGAGACCCATGGTAATTTGCTGATTCACAAGATTACATCAGATACTGGAATACTGGGATTCACTGATATTCGCTGATAAATGATTCTTTTTTCAAGAATACCTGAAGCTCTTCACAAATTTCTAATATCAGGAAAATGTAAAATTTCCAAATTCCCTGTACAATACTTTCTTTAATTGACACATTTTTTCTCAGTGTCTCAGTATGTATTCCATTGAGATAGCCTTGTATTCTAAGTCTCTTTTCCTATAATGTAAAGTATTATTTACTGACACTGAAAATTATCTCAACCTTCTATGGTTGGAAAGACGATACATTCAAAAGGAGTAGTCTGGAGCAAGAATATTATATCCTGCTTCAGATTCTTGATATAAATATCAGGTAATATCAAAAAGCATTTCAATTTTGACTTTTGGATTTGCAATATTTCATTGTATTATTATAGTTGTGGTTCCTCAAATGCACTTTATATTGAAAATAATTGTCATTTTTTGTCAATTGTTATTGGTTTCAAGATGTTGAATTGAGCTAAAGCATTTAGTCATTGATGTGCATGTCATGCATTTTAAGTTTGAATTACTTTTAATTATTTTTTAAGTGTGGTAAATACAATACCAGTGGTGCTAAAGACTACCAGACATCCCATCTTTCTCTAGTTCATCTTAGCTTATATTTAGATGTAGCACCTGTTTCAGACAGTAGGCTGCAGATTGAGGCTATTTTTTGTTTACTTTTGTCAAAAGTATTCACCCAAGACCTTTTTATGACCCTGAGCAGGGCGATTTAAACAATTTAGGAAACTCACAGCATACAGCTTTAACTTGTGTTTCTGCAAGCCGTCATATATATACAACTCATCATATTCAGTGGAGAATGTGATGGTTGAAAGATTTTGCATGGGCTGTAAATAATTGAATACGTTTCTCCATGTGTTTACAAGTTGCACACAGAACGTTGATCAAAGCTGGACACACTATTTGAAGGCTTTCATTTCTCTCGATTTCACATACCTTTCTAAAACTGAGTGATGTTGAAATGATCTCGGTTCTCCTTAAAATTGTCCATATTGTTTTACATTCTTGTAATTTGTCCTTTAAATGAAAATAATATATTTTCCTCTGTCCTGTCTTCCAAAAGCTGCAATTCAACACTGTACCACAATTTATTTAAATTGGGCTCACATTTCAAATTCACTTTAGCTTCAGATATGCTTGATGTGATCTTATGTACTTTCTTAAAAACTGATGGTTCTAAAATGACATTTTATGTTATTTGGTAATATATTTTGACTAGAAAATATCAATTAACATAACCTTGATAATGTCGTGCTAGCTGAAATGTGCCAATTATGTATATATGTACAGATTTATAAGAATGATTTCATTGTTGAATTGCTATCCATTTTCCTGCTCATTCTTGTCTGATATTTATGCTGATTAATTCTGTATCTGTGTTTAATTAGAATTAATAAATGTTAGAAATGAAATCACAAGTTTGTCTTATAAATGTGATTTTAAATTTACTTCCTTGTCATTTCATGTTTCTCATCTATCTCTTCACTCTAATACTGTGACAGATGTAATGTCAGACTTGATCGCATTATCAGTTTGTCCCTGATCTTAACATTAACATAGGTGCTCTTGTTTGAGATATATACTATTTTCTCACTGACCTTGTAGTTTTTTCTGCATCTCAGATGACATTAGTAGTGTATTGTACTGATTTTTTACAGTGTTCTTTCTTCAGTAAATATTGGGAACATTGTCATTGCTATTACAGATTTAATCACTTCTATGATTTCTAACAAAATCTATAGATGAATGATACTGATAGCTATGTATAGACTTAAAACTGATTTTTCTTCAAAACTGTTAGGTCTTCTTAATTTTTTATCATAAGGTTCACTGTTGGATCTTATTCATATGAATGCGGAGTGGGTGATATTGATTGTATTTTTGAAATATGAAATCACATTTAGTTCATTTGAAAAGTTTATGTTGTGCTTGTCGGGTTCAGATATAAAGTGGTCTTTGTTATCAAAGATAGACTGTCCCCTTTAGATTAAGTCTGAGGCTTATGTTGAAAAAGCAGGAAACCATGACTGACTCCAACTAATCAAGTACAGTATGCATCAAGTATGAATGGTTAGCAGCATTTTGTAGTGGATGGCAGCTGATATGCTGAAAACAATGCTTCTTTTTTTCTTAACAGTACATTTTCGGCCATAAACCTTGGGTGTGCCCCCAATTAATTTATTTCATCAAGGTCTTTTGAAATGAAATGAAAAGACATTGTGCCTATGGAGCACACTTGGCTACCGAACAAATACTGGCCACTGTCCTGCAAATGCTGACCTGGATATCATCTCAGTCATGTTGGAATTTCTTCCAAAATATGGTTTGGGCTGCTGCCTCTGTGATATCTTATGATATTCTAATGTGCATTAAAAGCAGGAGTTACACAGGGTATTTTGTGGCACATATTTCAGCTTGCAGTGATAATCTTTAATATTTTCCATTTTGGTTATGAAAGTTCAGAGTATATTAATGAACAGATATTTTTATTTATTAATTATTAATGCTCAAGTTAAGCCTTCCTGCAGTTCTCTGAATTAATTTAATTCATTAAAATGTGAAAAATAGGTTGAAGTTTTTTTATGGCCAAAGTTGATCATTATAACCCAAAATAAGAGATGGGAAAATACTATGTGGTTACATAACTAGTATTTCATAGGTTTTCTAGCTTTGAGTTCAGATATCACACCTTTTAAAGCTTTCCCTTAAGATACTGTACATTGAGTTAAGATCCCCAAATATTTAACAAGCATGCAAGTTTTTCTGAATGCCTTATCTTGAAGTCGTTGAATTACAAAGACGCTGTTTCCAAACATACAGTAATTTATCACATGATTCGTGCATCATTGTTTCTTGTTGACATTTGACTACAGATTATTTGTTGTGTACTTTAAGCACAGTGACCTGAAACAGAAAAGAGACACTTTAACAGAATGCTGCAAATTCAAGCATTCACGTCTGCAACTGTGTTTTTCCTGTCTTGCAGAACAATCCAATTTGTAAAGTCTGCATACCCAATATAGTGGAAATGACAACTTATTTGATTGAGTCTGTGCATATACTGAAAGTAAAATTAGCAAATGGGGAAATACTGCCAAGCCTAGCTTTATAACAATCAAATTGGTTGATTGAAAACTTCATATGACAAACATTTCCAGTTGTAGCTAAATAAAGTTTAATCAATACACAATTGTTTGAGAAATTGTGCCTATACAATAAAAGTCTTTATCAGGAGATAGGCAAACTACAAGGACTTTAACTACAAGGACTTCATGGATGGCAAGAGAAAGACGGTCCAGAAGAACTGTCTGGAACCACTGAATTGCTGGTTATTGCTGAATTTGTGATAATTCCTGTTAGCTATGCAGATCTGTTAACAACCTTTGTTGGTAGCAGATAACCTTAGTAGAACATGAGCAAAGCACAGAAATATCCAGCAGTAATACTGAACTCACAGTGAAGATGTTCCACCAAATGGGGAATTAATGATCTAGGGGGATATATAATCATCTAATGTCAGGGTGTCAAACGGGGAATTAAGATAAGATCACTTTATTAGCCATATACAATTTCTTGCATTTGGAATTTGTCTTTGTTTCTAGTAACTTTTTTTCTGCATGTACTTAAAAATGGTACTGGTTTTCTTACTCTTTTTAAATCGATTTGTGTAATTTTCTAAAACATTCTACAGTCAAAATACAAATAAGGGTGCACTACAAAGTTGCCGTGGTAGTATCATTTATGAATATCTGTTTTATCCTCACTGTAATTTAATTAATTATGGTAGGATAGGAATGAATATATTGAAAAAATTCCGAAGTCTGTAAGGAAAAAAAAATCCGATTCAGCTCCGGCTGTGAGAACTTCGGCCTATAAAGGAAATAAGGTAGGGGTGTGATGGACAGTTGTGATTAGCGTTTCCATACACCATTGATGTGGCCACCCTGTAAGACAGACTCGCACAGTTCTGTAAATCTCTGAAGCAGGCTGGCATTTGAAAGCTATTCAACCTGGTCACATAGGAGCTACATACCTAGTATTAACAACTTCTTTCACCTCTAACAGCCTCTGAAATATGAAGATATTTATGCATTACAGTTACTGCTACAGTTACTAAATGTTTTCTTTACTTATGGAGCTGGCTGTGCATACATGTGCTCTATGCATATATTCACAATTTTAACTTTTATGTTGAGGGCAGTTTTGGATGATATTTAAGTAATGTTACACAAAAATTACAATCCTCTTGTGAAAATCGATAGCTTTGAGTTTTTGACCCACTATACTCAAAACCCTGGAGCCAAAACCTTTCTATTTACATTAGTAATCAGTACAAACAACTATTTATCTACTGTAATCACAAATCTTTCTATTATCTTCTAGTTTCTCTTAAAACGATAAAGGGAATAGAGGGAATAGCCTTTATTTAACTGACAGAGCTTTATCTATTAAGCTTGCAAATTGCTTCTCAAGCTTCTTTATTACTTTGCCATCTGCAGGTAAGGGAAGCAGTAATTGTAAAAAATATCAGTTAAAATGCTGGTAAACATTTTTTGAAAATCAGATTACAAAGGTTCCTATTATTGTTCACACCTTGTGCTACACCATGCAGAAATACAAATCAAGGACATTCATTGTCTGTGGTTTATATATAGTAAAAGTATAAAAGTTTTGCAGCACAAGAACAACATCTTTAAAAATCAGAATAATTTCAAGGATATAAACAGTGCTATATAAAAGGCTTTTGTGTTGTTTTACTCTTCATTCAGTTTGCTTTCATTATGCAAAAAGGCAATTCTAGCCATTTTGTTTAACTTAATCCTATTAGAGCTGACACGATACATCGCCTTCTAGGATTATGGATGTACAGTCTACATAGCAGATAAAAACAGATGTTTTTTATGAAGAGGAACACCTTTTGAATAATTGATTGGTAAATACTGTATGATGAATTAGCGATAACAATATTTCAAATTCTTTTTTGTTGTTTACGATCAATGCGAGTTGTAGATTGCTCAACCAAAAGCTTGATTTCTTCTCAAACTAAAACTGTACAAGTCAAATATTGTTAGGAAAGTTTAAAGCAGTAGTGGAGACTGCTAAACTGGAGCTCGTAACATATTGAAACTGCTGATGGTATCTAAGAAGTTTTAGACTTTTGCATATCAGTGCACAATATGGATTTTGGTAGGGATACATAGAGATGATTTTTGCTGATTTTCTTTAGTCCATGGTATCAGTAATTTGTTCTTTGATTTTATCAATGTTTAGTTGTCAAATGATTGTGTCAGGAACACTTGCTTTTATAAACTAAATTATTATTAGCTTCTAAAAGTGTGATATGATTAAAAAAAAAATAGCCGATTAGTTCTTCTGAATGATTCTGTCCATGAAATGCACGAGGTGAGAGAGCCCCAGTCTTCAATGTTTCTAACAGCACGTGCAGAACATCAGGATCACTAGAGGGCAGCAGCAACATTTTCATCGTGATCTGTGTTTGCATTTATTCTGCCAGGGAAGATGGTGAAAAATTAAAGTGTGGCAGATCTATGGGTCTAAAGCTCAACATTCAACACTTCCAGGATGTCTGGGATATCTGGGTATACATTTTTTGCTGCTTCCTGAGGTGCACCATGGAAGAAATATTGTATTAGCTAACACGTCATGTAAAAAATAGAGCTAATCAAAGGGTAGGGTTAATTTTATTTTCTTCCAGTTCCCTTTCAGATAATGCTTGGCATTTTATTTTCAAAATGTATAGCATAAATGTAGAATCTTATATTTAACTTCATGTAGTGTTAAGGAGGGCTTTGTGGTAAAAACAAATCTTAATATTAAAAAAACAAACATGACAGTTCTATAGAGAACAGTTCATTCTGCTTCCCAGTGCTTCCTAACAACCTAAAAGTGGTTTGTTCCTTAAACCTTATTTAGCTATTTAGCTTAAAATCCTATCAAAGCTGAAAAATTTGACCAGGCAAATCATTCTCTTCTGTACACTGTACTCCATCCACTGTGTTATTAACCTCATATGCTGTACTCTTTACTGCCATCTTGCCCTGGCAGATTCTGTTCTGTGTTTCAGTAAAACTAATGTTTTTGAATTTGAAATGTTTTCAATTTAGCATGTCTAGATAAACTTACCATACATTATTAAATATTTAGATTTAGTATGTAGATACTGTACATATGTGTCCTGTCGAACCAGTTACAATTAAAGTGAAATGTGTGGAGCTTCAATGCAGCCTGAAACATGAGCAAAACATACAAGAACAAGGTCATCAAGGCTTTTTAATATTCCAGGCAAACAGTCATACAAACTGTTAATTTACTGTAAGTCACATTGTAAATGTTATTATAAAACAAGTTGGAAGACATACCTAGACTTAGGGAACATTGTAAAACAATTCCTGTGAGGGATTATTATTTATGGATATGTTTAGTCTACCAGTTTTCACTGAAGTGGGCATCCAATCTGCCATTAGTTGTTTAGAACAAAGGTCCTACACTTCCATTTTTAGTTGGTTGAGTCTTCATGAATGAAAAGCTTACAAAATTCAGATTTTGCATTTTTGAAGTTAAAATACTGCAGATCCTCTTTTCTGGATGTGTTTCTTTCTGCTACATCCTCTGTGCTTGCACTGGGTCCCAACATATTGTTTTGTACTCCATGACAAATAACACATATACATATCTTGTCCACGTTTAGTGACAGACAAGGGGAGACACTGGGTATAAATAGCAATCAGTTATGAAGTGAAGGCCTTGTTGTTATGGTAGAGGATTAAACTTGGGTAGACAGTGAAATAATCTTGTCTGCCAGTTATAGGGCTTTGAGCTAATGATTTCACTGTTGGTCATCACAGGATCAAAGACTCTTTCCATGGTATGTTTTTCTGTCATAGTACAACAGTTGTGTCATTGTAAATTAAGAGGGTTTCAAACCATGAGTAATATAATAACTAGTAAGAATTATACAAGGCTAGACCTGCTAGTTATCATGTTTTCTCAAAGAGTCAAAATGAAACTAAACTCCTGTTGTACGATACCTTTGAAAAATGTTTTCTGTACAGTATAAATGTGCTGCATAAACAGGGGCAGAACTTAACAGTGTAACATTCAAGGTCTGTGGAAGTGATGATGTCACACTTAGTTGAACAGTAATTAAATAATAAATGGGGGAGTTGAAAAGAACATTTTGTGTTATTTGGGAGAGCTTTTTATGTTGAAAAACAGGACTTTTATTTTAGTCTTGCAAACTGCTTCCCTCAACTTCAATTTTGGCTACATCAAGGTAATGCTAGATAGTGAAAAGTGTTTTTAAAATGTAAGATTGTACTGTGAAAAAATCTGTAATCCTTTCAATGCAAGGACCCCATCAGGCACAGCATTAGAGCTTCTTCCATACCTTTTATCTGTGTGTAAAGAAGATTCTCCTCTTGGCTGAACCTTTGGTATTAACCTTAACCTTTGAAGTTAATACAGTTTGTTTCAAGCAGCTTTGCTGCTGGTCAAAAGCATGTGGTAATAGTAATATCAAGTGACATTTAATAAATTGATTTTCTTGTTGACAATTGGTTGATTTTCCATGAAATTACATCTAACTAAATATCTTGTCTACTATCTAAATCTAAAGCTTTCTAGAGTATGTGCAGGTTAATGAAATAAGACTGTGTTGTTCACAGATAGGGTTAGGCAATCTTTTTGTAAGAGAAAGCCAGCAGATGGCATTGTATGCTCGTGACTTGATTTAAAAGACGGTTCTACAGAGATTTACTTCATTAGGTCCTTTTTTTTCCCATGATGTCATTTTGTAAATGCTGTTGTACAGTAATTGCATGTCAAATCTACTCAGTCCTGATTCACAGCCATCTGTCTGAATCCATCTCCATCCAAGAGCTATGAAGTGGATAGCAAATAATAAGCAAAATCCACACCTTAATATATTTGAAAAATCTTGTGTCACACTGTGTAAATTTCACATGGCAACAGCCATTTCGCAGCCTCAACAGCCCATTCTGCTTTATGTTACAATTAGTACTTTTCATTATTATTTCATTTTCATTTTGCTATTTCATTGTGCTTTTTAACTTGGGAAAAAAAGCATTGATAATAAAATGTTTGTTAAGAGAAAGCCAAAGAACAACCTAGATACTTATTTAAATGTATGAATGGATTTAAGGATATTTTAGGTCAGTAATACTTTAATTTTACACTATTATGGATCAGGTTGAATTGTGACTTAATTTAATGCCACCTCAACTAGTGGTAGGAGGTACAAATGCAGTAATAGTAGTGTATTACTAGTGAAGTGTGTTCAACTCATTTTCCTGTAAACAGGATAAAAGAAGAATCAATATATATGAAGATATTGCTTACCCTTCACTTCATTTTGTAATTAGCCCCTCCAACATAGCAGGGAATTGGTAAAATATCTGACTCATAACATCTCATACAGCCATTCACCAATATAAGGTTTCTCATAGGTGTAAAGCCTTGGAACTGCTGTATTTTATTTTCAGATTACATGATAAACGATCCAATTACCCATCTAAATGTCATGTGAGGGTTTCTGAGATTTTGGAACAATCAGAACCCTGAACAGGCTGCCTTTGTGATTGATTTTTTTCAACCATTTATGTTAAGAGTTTTCCACTACTCTTCAAAATGGAAGAACTGTGAACCTTCTTGATCATAATTTGCTGATGCTATTTTCCTCCTTCTTGGGACTCGTAGCACTCAGGATTTCTATATTGCAGCCTTCGTAATCTCAGACCACTCTTTAGTTCATTCGTCCAGACAGTTTTAAGTGTGTGCAGTACATGTGATGGTTTGAAAAAAAAAACATAGAAATTTGCCTTTAGCTATAAAAAAGATTTTTCAATAGCAAGAAAATCAGGAGCTGCCAAGTGGGCTCCAGCTGAGATTCCAGGTTATCAGGTTCTATTTCAGGCTTGTCATCTTGCCCATAGAGCTGTAATTACTGCTGATAAACCATCTTGTCTTCTTGATTAAACCAGTGAATTAATCTTCAATCTCATCTTTTCTTCTTGCCATTCTTTAAACGGTTCTTAGGATTGCCTTTCTCTTACTGTGTGGGTGATGCAGCTGCCACAGCACTCCGGCATGTTTTGTGTAGGTAATTAACAGGGTCTGAATCTTTTTCTTTTTCAGGCAGAGTGAAGGGAGAAAGGGAGAGTTTGCAGACTCCAGGGAACTGCCACAAGGGATCGCCTGCTGTGGGTCCATCGGCAGACCAAGGACCTGTGGCGTCTCCTCTGCCAGTGAACAGAATTATTGATGTGGATGGCGTGAGGCTCGAGGACGCCTCGCCAACAACCGGCGAGGACAAGGAGCTGAACCTCAGCTTCGAGGGATATGTTTCTGAACTGAGGTCCTGTCAAGGCAGAATGAGGACTGGTGTGTACAAAACATCTGACCTTCCTTCTCTGATAACGGTGAAGACTGATAAGAACAAAGCTGCTGAAAACCAGTACAAGGCCACCTTTGTCTAAATACCGTACTTGGGAAACAAATGCTTGTTTATGGCTGCTTAGTTTACGTCTGGTGGTCATCTGCAGTAGATGCTGGGCTTCCCAGTATCTAAGGCATGAACATCAGAAATAATTAATATGTGTAAATAGCTTGATGATTAGTATTAAATAATTCTGATTATACTGGATGTCAAACATTTTTTATGTAACATTGACTATATTTAGGAAACTTCTTTGTTTTATTTTTGTTTTTTGTTCTCACTTGCATTAGTAAAGGCCAAGGTGTAGTATTTTAGTCAATGTTAAAATATATGAATGAATGTACTGTATGGGGCAAGTAGGGAAAATTTATTTGTGAAATTAATCTATGATATGCATCTTTCAAAGATGCATTAATCCATTTGGCATTTACCATAATAAAACATTAATGTAATATTTAAACCTTTAGATAAGAGATTTCTTTAATTTTCAATTAATCTTAAAATACTGTACAGTATAAGTAGTAGGAAGCAGGTGTACCCATATTTTAGCTGAGTGCGTTATACACAAGAAGAGATGTTTACGAGGCTGTCTTTAGGTCGGGTCTTTAGAATGCAGTGCAGCACAACTAGTTTTTCAGCACAGGGCTCGTGTTTAAACCTGTATTTTTAATGAGCGATATTTCAGGCCCAACAACAGCAATACATTGTCAAACAGTATTACAAAGATTAAACTCTCTTTGAGCTTTGTGCTAAACAGAACAAGGATAAGCATTAAGATATATCAGCTGACAGTAGTCCCAAACAATACCTTGTTCAGTCTATATATATTGCAATATTTAGACATATGTAGCTAATTATATATTCCATTACATCGCATTCCATATTTTTGCATTAACTGTCATAGGACCATAAGTCACACTGATGGAGTTTCAGATTACAACTTTATCAGCAAGCCAGCAAGTGACTGTTTAGAAAATAAACTTTCAATATCTCAATGCATTACCCTAAGCATATTTTAGGATTAAACAGTGTTGGAGGACATAAGAATGGAATAGTTGTGATGTAAAACCTGTTATTTTGAACTGCACAGCAATCAACAAACTCTTAGGCTTTCCATTACACATTTTCCAAATGCCAACTGCAGGTGATAGCAGTATCAGTTTTATTTTGAATCAAAGCTATTGTCTAGTGGTCTATAACAAGTGTTATATAAACACCACGTATATCTGCTATTCCCTTAAAATGTGCTGTCTGTACATGTTCAAAAGAATAGTGTAGGAACTACTGTAACTATTGCTTTTCTAAGAGTTTGCTGATGAAATGTAATAAATGCACTAATATTGTAAAACTAAATTATTTTTTTTCTTGAAAAATTGAAAACATTGTACACAGTACAATATACACAGTACACAGTAAAGTGCTATTAGTCCCCGGTATAGTGTTGTCAAATATTGCTGTCTGAGGAACATTTTCAAAGTATGTGGATGTAGAATACGGTGTACATCACTGTCTGCTTGTAGAGAGATATCAGGACCCTCTGTTAAATTTCACAGAATTAGCAAGTGTTTGTTGATGAACAAGCAACATTATTTCAAGATGTAGCACTTACCTGTACACCTATCAGTACTAAGCAAATAAGCTTTTAAGATGCAAAGATTTCTGTGCATTGTTAAAAATCATTACAATAACTGTATATTTCATTTTACATATGCTGCAAAATATAAAGTATGCATAGGTATCAATTAGAACATATAAATAATGCTGAACAATTTCATTATTGTTTTCAGTTGTTATTAAAAAATTGCTTTACGAAATCGTTAAGATGATATCATTGTGCAATGTTGAAATATCTGGGGTATGGTTTTAGAGGTTTGTATTAGAGAACCCCTGTGAGCAAAAGCATGGCAAAGACATGCACTGAAAATAAGAGCTGAGCATTAATGGTGGTAATCTCTTCTTTCACTGATTCTGCACCAAACATGTGCTAGCTGTTCTGCCAGGTGCCAACTCATTAAACAACTTGCGCACATTCTAAAAAGCACAAAACAAATCAGAGAAATAGTGTTTTACGGGAAAACAGATGCTAATGCTTAAATATAATACTGTAGTCTTTCTTTAATTATCAGACATTTATCATATCTGTCAAGAGATTTAAAACAGAATGGGATATTGGCTTATACTGAACTTGTTTATTATTCTTGAACACCTAAAAAGAGGGTTGATCCTGGGAAATCTGGAACGACTTACCCTCAGGGAGACTGCACTGGCTTTATCCAAATCTGTACATACTGTAAATACCTTCAATACATAAAATAAAATGGGTAAAAGGTAAATGACATGGCCCTTATAAGAAATAAAATACAACAATAGTATTCTGAAAAAAAGATTAATGTACAAAAATTACTGTATGGATAATTATGACTGTCCTTTGAACTTGGCCTAGTTTGGATGTTATCAATCCAGAAATCTTGTGAAAATCTTGTCACCATTTTATGGAAAAAAAACACAGTCTTAGTCACTCCTGAATGAGTTAGCGAGTAAAGTTTAAGAGTGTAGGTTCAGCCCTGGAGGCCAAACATTGCCATTTCCATTCTGTGCTATGTGTTCAGAGAGCTGTGGTCAGGACTCCCAAGCTGTCGAGTACAACCAGCTACAGTAAGTGGTAGAGGTTGTGGGTGGTCTGGGCAGTCACCCTTGTGACTCCTGGGGCCTGCTGGCAATGTAGAGCTTGCAGTGACATTAGTGAACCTCTCTAGTGCTTAGTAGAGTTATAGAAGTAAACCTGAGTTGTCCTAATTAGATAGAAAATAGAAAACATCCCATGCAACATCTCTAGAAAGCCATTTTACTCCCTTCACAGCTTCCAATGCATTTAGGAGGATACACCATTATTTAATTGCGATAGTTTACATTACTGCTCTAAACACACAAAACATGAAATGGAGATCAAGCTTTTTTATTTTATGGGAGAAATAGAAATAGTACACTTTTCACATCGATTCAGAAACTTTTACAGTGTATAAACTACATTTGCAGTTCAAATCTTAGATGTTCTGTATTTAATATCAAAATGCCATACAGTATTACCAGTTGTTACTGTCTGTGCTGTTTTTGGCTTTAGGCTTTCTCTGTATCATGGAGTTCCTCTGCATTTTTGTGTATGATACTGTACTGCACATATTACCACTAATAAAAACAGATGCTAGGATAAGATGTCAAATGATACATTTAATGTTCTATATTAAACTAATTAAATGTAAGAAAACAAAGTGTTTTTTTATCATTTTTTCATTTTGTTTTGATTTAGAACAGGCTTTAAAATCAGTGGTTCTCCTCTCAGCTGAGACTGAAAGTGAAAAAAAGAACAGGTTACAAGCAAGAGGAACGCATTCAGCCCATCTAGTTTGTTGTATCTAAGTGATCAGTGGATATAATATAATAATAATTACTTACACTTATATAGCACTTTTCTGGACACTCCAGTCAAAATGCTTTACAGGTAATAGGGGCTCCCCTCAACCACCACCAATGTGCAGCCCCACCTGGATGATAAGATGGCAGCCATAATGCGCCAGAACGCTCACCACACACCAGCTATCAGTGGGGAGGAGAGCAGAGTAATGAAGCCAATTCATAGATGGGGATTATTAGGAGGCCATGATTGGTAAGGGCCAGGGGGAAATTTGTTTTGGGATTTTGAATAGTTGAATAAATTCCCCTTGTAGTCTTCCCTGTTCAAGACAAAACAAAGCCAGTTCTTAGCATCTCAGTACAGGAACATGGAGACCAACTGTACACAATATTTTAGTTGGGGTCTTTAAGCTATGTACAATTTTAACAAAAGATCACATAATTTAAATAAACACTTCTGTTTTCTATTGCTTCCCCAACATTGTTTAGAGCAGGAAAATAAAATCAACACCTGCGTCTTTTTCATAAGTAGCTTCTAATGAAAGGCAAGCTCCATGTTTTCAATATTATAATTATTGTTAATTTAATGTTTTGCATATTTTTGCATATATTTCGAGACAGCCATCACACCTTGATCCACTGGTTGGATCAGTGACAAACTAGATGGTGGTAAGAACTCAAAACTGAATTATGGGACATATGTTAGATTTTGCTCTTCACAACATTTTTTAGATAAGCCCTGACCCACCTTGCAATTTGAGCAAACTGTTTTTGGTGCCTAGAGAAACAATATAATGTAAATGAGTGCAGGGAATTTATTTACATTAAGTTCCTCAATTCATCAACAATATAAGTGCAAAACACAAATATTATGGGACCCCCTGTACTCTAATCTGCTTAGTGGTTATCTAACCTTACTATCTTGTTGAAAACATTCTTCAAGCTCCTATTATCAGGTTTATCCATATAGGTGTCTTAAGAAAAACAAAACATAATGTGTTTTGCTGAAATGTTTTTTTTTCCCAGCTTGAATCTTATTTTATGTAATTTTACAATTACAAACAGTAAGTAATTTGACCAAAATGGTGGAAGAGGTGAATTTGTTTAAAAATAAGAAAAAATAACAAAAGCTTGCTTCTAAATATAACCATATATTTCTAAAGTATTACTATAAAATGAAAACTGATGTGTTCTTGCAAAAAAGTACATCATACACTCTAATTAGAAAAATAAACACATAATAATAATAATATAATTGCTTACACTTATATAGCGCTTTTCTGGACACTCCACTCAAAGCACTTTACAGGTAATGGGGACTCCCCTCCATCACCACCAATGTGCAGCATCCACCTGGATGCTTATTGTTCTGGAATACCTGAAAGTAATTAGGTGAACATCTGTATGTTTCTCCTTCTTCATCACTTATATTAGATTGAAAAATCCCAAAGTGTTCAAAGTTTATTATTAAAGAGTAGTCCTCTTTTTCAGACCATAAATATTTTACGGTAAAAAAAAGGTACAGGTATGTGTTTTTCCTTGCAGTGAAACAAACAAATTTAAAGATCTAGGATTACAAATGGTTTCTCACTGTTCAACATTCTGTCTTTTTTCACGACTAGATATGCAGATAGAATAGCAATCATTGCGTAATAAAACTGAGCCAAAAAAAGTTAAATTTATATTAAACTTATAATGTTTGACTGTCTGTTAAACAGTGTTTTAACTCAAAATACTGATACTAAATGGCAGACGCCTAAACAGTAGAAAATAATCTCCTTCTGGTGCCTCACCATACTGCTGTTTGTAGGTTATCATTAACTAGTCCCGACCAAGTCATTTCTTCAGCCATTAAGATTTCTTTCCCACCACTTGATCCTTTGGAACTCCAGGCCATGTGCTGAATTCTGTTTTATTTTTTTAACAGCTTTTCGTTCGGCAAGCCAAAAATAATTCCAACCACTTCTGGAAATATTTAAAGTTAGATCCAAGTTTTGCTACAACAGCGATAACCTGCGCTTCACGCAAACATACGTTACACATTAAATTTAGTGGAATAAGAAAAAACGACAACAATACAAGAATATGCTCTTTCTACTATTTCTCATCCTTCCTCCCAGTGTGTTCAGCATTAGGACGGTAAGTTCTTGTTCATCGTCACAGATTTAAACTACAGGCAGCTGTTGTTTTTATCATGCAGCAAAAATAAAAGTGCCTAGTACATTTTTTCCGAATTTACGTTTTACAGTTCAACTGAAAAGTAAAATGCTAGCGGGGCACCTCTGTTAAGAGTTGACCCTGGTTATCATCCGAGAGTAAACAGGTTTACGAGACTGAAGAATGTTGATGAAAGATTGCTAGTAGGATTGCATACGAAGAATTTCCAGCGACGAACACCTTTATTTGTGAGCATGTCAAAATGTTCCCTGAATATATGTTAAATGAGAGATACAATGTTGATTAAGGGAAAAATGGCTATTACAGATTCTGTTCTGTTGTTGCTGCAGTTCGGAGGTATCGGTATTACTGATCTGTCAGTGTCTTTCAGCGCGCTGTCCTTCCTGGTCATGACATCGTGATTTCTAGGAATGTGCACAGCCAAAGGCAGAGGTATCAAAGAGGTAAGGAGTTGATTATGCATACATTTACCTGCAAAATCACCAGTAGGACAGTTTTAAAAAGTGTAATAAATGAGTTACAGCATATTGTCGTAATAGTCTTTATATCACGTTAGATTCTGTTGAGAGTTCTGTCACACTACTGTACGTTATATGCAAAATACACATAAAAAGATGATTAAGTATTATTTAAGTAGAACTGTAAGGTGTTTTTTTAGTACTTAAATTCATTAATGACAAGAAACTTTGGCAGTGCAGGCAGTCTTATTTATCAAGTATTGCTTTTGAAACATTTAATAATAGCAATATGACAGTGTTTATGATTTCGGAGTCTTGCTGTGTAATTTTCATTATTGTTATGCAATCAGTATCCAAAGCATTGTTTGTTGGCCAGTATTCTTTGGTACAGTATGATCTCATTTCTCTTTCAGAAACTATTGCAAAAGAGTTCTTGCTTAAATACAATTGCACAACAAATTCTGCCTTGTAAATGTGGTTTAAAAGTCATGGAGAGGTGAGCAGTATATGAAAACTGACTCCCTCAAACAAAAGAATTTAATAGGAACAAGTTAAAAGTAGCAGGCCTAAGTGCAGGATCAGACATATCTGTTTTCCATTAAGTTTTTAATTTAAAACAACATACTGACCTGGAAACTGTGTGTGTGACCTGTGAGGTACATATACCTCCTCTTTAATTGTGTGATATTTAGAAAATACATCATTGCTGCTTATACAGGCACTGTACTGATTATTTGTCTGAAGCTATCAGTTCTTGAGAAATGATGACATAATGTTTGTTGTTAACTCACATTTTCACATGGCTTTAATAACCATTGATATTACTGTCAGCATAGAAACAGTAACCTTGCTTTGAAGCTGTACACTTACAGTATACAGTGTACTTAGTGTTCTTTATCACTTCATAAAATCAGTAATTTCCACATTCTCTTGTATTTTGTGATGTTATAATGTTATTGCACAGTAAACCTGTGGAAATTAATAATTGCCGGATAAATGTGATTTTCATTCCGAAATTAGCTAATTTTACAGTTGGCTAATTTTATCAAGTAGATGTGTACTGTATTCTGAAGTTTCAAACTTTGGAAACCAAACTTACTTTACTGAAAAAAAATACTGTAATTAAAAAAGCAATTATAATTGCTCTGTCTTCATGACTAGAACCAGGATTGTTTTGAAAAATGTACTTCAATGGTTGTCTCTGTTTATTGCAGAGATTAAACCAATGTATTTTGGAAAGAGACCCAGATTTCAGACAAAGTAATAAGCAAAAACCATTAAACTACTTTATTTTCACTAATTAGGAAATTGATAATCCAATTACTAGATATATAAATGAACAGATTCGTTAAAAGAGTAGTTTAGCTGGCTGCCACCGTTTATGAAATATTAAAATCCTTTAAATTAATTAATTTAAGAAAGCTGCTCTTTATAAGAAATGTTTCTATGTTGTAACCTTTTTGAATTAGGAAAAATGAAAAAATACTTTAGTTTATGTTCAGAACACCTAACAAGCAGTGCAGTGTGCAGTCAGCAGAAGAGATCTTTGGTAGGTGTGTTCATTTTTTCCCCAAAACAGCAGGCCTCAATTATAACTTGAAACCCCATAATGAATGGCCGTTTTTGTCCCTAATTACCAGGAATGTTCTATACTTCACTAGTAATTGCTGATATGTTCATCATTATTTATATTGTTTTAATTTGTGTCATTAAATGGACTGCATAAACAGACACAAGTATCATATTCACCAATATAACACACAAAACCCAAAATAGACCAAAGGCAGCAGAACTGCAAATAATTAGCAAAATTAACAACATTAATATGACTAGCTTAATAGTTTGTAGCATTTTGAATTCATCTAACCAAAATTAATCTAAATATAAGATAAGATCACTTTATTAGCCAAATACAATTTCTTGCATTAGGAATTTGTCTTCTTGCATACTCCAACTTGCTCTCCATGACACACACAGCAGGGGAGAGAGAAGCTTGGGGTCACAGCGCAGGGTCAGGCATTTAAACAGTGCCCCTTGAACGGCTGGGGTTAAGGGCCTTGCTCAGGGGCCCAGCGGAGTAGGATTCCTCTGCCAGCCATGGTATTTGAACCAAAAACCTAGATCCTTAGCGACAGTGCCACCCCATCTGATTAAAATATTCAGTTGATCCACAAACATGATATATTACAGTCATTGTTAAAGCATTTTGCTTCCATTCATGAACATGGTACATGCAAACCTTTGCACTTTAAAATATATGTTATGATTAATTGTTTCTATTAATATGTTTTAGTTTATTTCAGTGTAACCCTTTAGATTTCATTTTAGATCTTGAGTACGAGCTTTTAATCAAGACTATCAGAGAAACCTGTTTATGCATGTTCTCAAACAAGCTTACAGAGCCTTTGTATCTGCGGAAGACTGTTCTAAAATGAAAATCATTCATTTCTTCTAGTGCTCACTGAAGATGGTAAAGAATGCAAATTTCCATTTCGTCATGGAGGGAGTCTTTACCACAGCTGCCTGTCTAATAAAAACACTGAAAAGCTATGGTAAGATGTGGGGGATCAGTGCTATGATATAGCTAACCATGTATTAGGGTTTTTTCATTTAGTAGAGTTAATTCTCTATACTGGTTACATCTTGTTTTATGTCTCTGTTATAAATGCAGCACTAGTTTACTGTAATGAAGTTCATTAGAGTGCAGAAGTAAGAGATAAGGAGGTGACTTAAGTGCATTCACTTCCACCCACTCAACCAACTCACTCTCCCGCTCCACCTATTTGTGTGATGTGCTTCTAATTTATTTTGCTATCCTTTTCTGCGTGTACTGAGACTGTGATCATGTAGGTGACCATGGTGTTTTGTTTTGTTTTTTTGGGGGGGGGGGGTATTTAGCGTTTCTTTTATTTTGCAGTACAACAACTCACAGGCATTATTCTCAGTGAGCACACAACCCACAACGAACGCTTTCCCGACAGAAACTGAATAACTAAAACATCACAAACGATGCACTTCCACATAAACACGTTAACTTGTTGTTAACCAAGCAGGCCGGGTGAAATAGATCTGTGAAATGAAGCTGTCCAAGTAGGTGTCCTGGATTTCATCTCCTACTGGACACCTCACGAACTGGCGAATGTTTTTGGCAAATATTGAGATTTTTTTTACTGCCCTTGTTTTTGCTGTGTCACCTGCAACACAGCTGATGGCCCTGAATATGCTGGGCAGATCTAAAAGTGCATGGAAACAGCTTTTACCTTTGCTGGCAGTTTGGACTGTACACAGTTGTGGAGAGGTGGGGTGAGACCATCTAACTTAAATGCCTGCCACCGGGGGACTGACTGGTCATCTTTAATTGGGACTGAATTGTCCCCCATTTAGGGGTGGAGGGAAACACCTTTACCAGAGGAAAGCCCACATTTACAATGCCCTGACTTCCCTTCTGAGAACAGGGCACAACCCCCTGTCCCAACAACTGCTGCAACTGGTGACACCCATGGGGCTTCCAGAGAGGAGGAGTAACGCCCCAGTAATCTGCCCTTCTGCCGAGGCCCTGTCTGTTCGTCTGCCATTTCCTGGTCCCAGGCCACTCTCAGCTTGATCACCTCCAGAATATTCATATTTTCCTCCGGGCTGAGGGAATTGAAGGAACAATGTCGCTACTGTATCCACCCTATCAATGGGACTAGCTTCTTTCTCATGAATGCCAGAGGTGGAGGTTTTGGGTGTACGCCTCATGAGGCTTTAGCCGATGCTATGGTTCATCTCTGTCCTGGACTTGAATCAAGGCACTTGAATCTTCCCCAGGCCCGAGAGACCCTGTAACCTGTCTCTGGGTGCTTCTTTTTCCACTTCCTCACCACGTTCTGGAGAAAAGATTGCTACAGTACAAGACCTTTGAACCCAATTACACAGCTGGACATTTCACTGGAGAAATGTCATTGACCTACTGTGTACCTTGCTCAGGGGCATAATAGCTGTGTCCTACCCAGGATTCAGATTTTCCCGTTGTGGTCCCACTGCTACCTGCATTAATGAATTCATGAGATGTGTTTAATGCTACCTGCATTCATGAATTCTTGAGGTGTGTTTAATGCTACCTGCATTCATGAATCCTTGAGGTGTGTTTAATGCTACCTGCATTCATGCATTCATTAGATGGATTTTGATTGTGATTTAAAAAAAAAGAAAAATCACCTATTTTTATTTTTTTGGTCACATGTATCTTTGTTTAAACACATCTGTTGATCCATGCAGTTTCTAAATGCTTAAACCAATTTAGGATCGTGGGGAAGCTAGAGCCTATCCCAGCAAGCAACGGGTGCAAAGCAGGATACATCCTGGATGGGACACCAGTCCATCACAGGCCATACACAAAGACCACACACTCGCATCAAGGCTCATTTTCCCAGAAGCCATTTAACCCAGCAGTATGTCTTTGGACTGTGGGAGGAAACTACAGCTCCCAGAGTAACACGAGGAGGACATTCAAACTCCACGCAGACAGCACTCCAGGTCTGGAACTGAATCCAGGGCACCAGTGCTGTGAGGCAGTAATGCCAACCACTGCACCTCTTGGATTAAACAGATGATAAATACAATTGTTAATGACAAATGGAGCAAAAAATAAAACTTACTGCCATGGGCCCAGCATTCCGTTTTAATACTAATCACTCAGATGATTAAATTCTGTTATTGTGTGTGAGAGATTGCCATAATTCCAGAGTTCCGAAATCTCTGTGGAAGCTGATGATTTTTTTATTACAGGAGTTTCATGATATGGGGATTTCTCTGGGATTGGTTGTCGGATACAGTTTCAAAGTCTTTTGACTTATGAGCACGTATTGCTACCACTTCTACAGCCCACCACTAACTCTGTATTCTGCGTGCGTGCCAAGCTCTTCATTTTAATAGTGACAGCTCCATCCAGGCAGAATCATGCAGCTGACTGATGGTGCTCAACTGTACACCATTGGAACACTGTAATCTATATTCATTTAACTCATTTACCCCGACAAATTGGTTAATAGAAATATGTGTTCTATTGATTAATTTTAGCATATTCAAAGCGCGCATGCATGCTTATTAGGTGTTTCACTTCTGAAGTTTTCACTGGGAATCCTGATGAATGTTTGTCTTTCATAGGTGTTCTATTACACATAATTTTGACCGGGACCAGCTTTGGGGATATTGTGCAACAAGGAGTTTAGACACTGAAGGTAACAAGTATTATATCCTATGAAAGAAACTAAGTTGATTTGTAATATCTGTGTGATAAGAAATGTACTTTTCAAACATATTGCATGGGCATGTGTTTTGATGGAAAAAAAATACAACAGGAAAGTTGACATACAATTGTTGAATTGTTAATAGTAGGCTTGCATCAGCCAAAATATCTGTACACCTTGCTGATTAAAGTTTATAGCTAACAGTACATAAGGCACAAAGTGGCTGAGCTCCAGATAATTAAGGATTTATGGCATGAGTGTAGTCCAGCTCTTAAGATCACTGTGATGTGTTGATCCTGGGCTTCTCACCCTGCCGAAGTCTAGGCTCTACATGATGAGCAATAGAGCCTTTATGTGTTTAGCATCATGTCTGTACAACCTATTGCCCACATCCAGTAGAGTTTCTTCGACTGACGACTTGCTTGAAGACCTAGCTTTTCACCAAAGCATATATTTTATAGTTTTACTACAAATATGTCACTACATTTTTGATTTCTAGATAAAGCACTTAAATACAAAATAGTGCAGTTTTATTAGTAGTAGTACGATTCATACTGTCGTAGTATTTGTACAGTGTAGTCACAGTAGCAGTAGTCGTCGCTGTTGCAGTAATGCTAGTACTACCTGTGACTATTTCCTAGTGCTTGTGAGTTTGCAGTGGTATCAGTGAATGTAGACCTCTTTTTAATACCTACTGTAATTGTACTGTTGGGTATTTTGAAAGTGCATGTTGAATGGAAGGTGAGTAATAGTCTTCTTTCTTTTGTTTGCTTGAGGGACATAGTCACAAGACCAATTTGTTGACATTGGGCAGTTCTCTAGATTTGGATGGTGTAAAGAAATATTTCCAATTGCAATTTTACCTCACTCTTACTTCCTCTATGTAAGTGGTCGGTTACCATGCATTGTGACATTAGTCTACTTATTTGAATATCACAGATTTTTGCAAGGATAATCCATGTCAAAATGATGGAATATGCACCAGTGTCCCACATTTAAAATCCTTCCACTGTACCTGCACAGAAGCCTATTCAGGGAAACTGTGCACACTGGGTGAGTCATTATTTTGCAATTTCTTCATACAGAATATAAAATCTCTTTAGGTTATAACATTCTGCTGAGATACAGTAAGTTGGTTTTACAGATTTGTTTAATGCTTCAGTACATACTAAATTTCTGGTAGAACACAAACATTAATCTCCATTAATGTTTATTGCATTATTATTTGCCTTTATAAAGGCCACATCAACACTTCACTATATTTGAAGATCTACATGCTAAAGTACCCAGAAGAAATGCTTCAGTGATTAGCAAGCAAAACAATAAGTCTAGAACTTTGTGAAAAAGGCCCTGTTTATACCACTTGTCTGGAATTTAGAGCAATTGTGAGTTGTCATACGTCAATCATTGGATGATAAGAGAACTCAAACTGATCTGATTGATAGCAGCGTTATTGCTTTCATGCCTGATTTTTTCAGATCTCATCAGCTAAGAAAGATTAAGCTTGATCAGGACTGGGAGGAGAAAACTCCCAAGGTAAAACAGCCTGTAGCTGCACTTAATGTAGGTTGAGCAGTAGGTGGTGCTCTTCCCTTTGAATCAGGATTTTCAGGCTAATGCCCAAGTTAGTATATCTGAGTGTCTTGTACAGTAGGATTTGCCATACTTTGCATGGAAGTTAAACTGAGATCCTGATTACTTGGTCAGTATAAAACGCTAGACAAGAGTCTTGTAAGAGTAAGAATGTTATTCGCTGGTTAAATTCCACTCTGGCTTGAACAAATCTTGCCTCCCTAAATCTTTCAAGTCTTCTAAATTTACATTGCGAGTCCTATAGTTTAGTATCATCTGAGACCTTGACTAGTTTCCTAGGCATATCGGAATCTAGATTATTTATTTAAATTAGGATGAGCAGTGGTTGTAAAACAGATTCCTGTGCTATACCATTAAGTATGTCATTCCAAAATGAGAATTGACCATTACGTCTACTCTCAGTTTTCTAAAAATTGTTAACCATTACTACTTGCTCGAAGGCCTCTGACAAGTTAAGCAAGACATATCTTTTTGGAAATTAGTGTTGAGTGACCTATAGATGACTGTAGATTTACAGATGACCCTCCAATTCAAATGATTGTTTCCATATACTTACAAGAAATATTTTTTTTTTCTACAGTTACTTTATTTTGTTGCCCTTTTTATGGATGGGTGCTACATTAGCAATTTCCAAGTCAAAGTGTGTTACTCCCATCTTGTATGATTGCTGGAAGAGTTTTGGTAATAGATTATGAATGATGTCTCTTATACTTTATATAAAATGGATAATATAGGTCAGGTGCTGGAATTTTGCTTTTCTTCAGTTCTTCTAATACCTGTAACACTTCGACCTCTTCTATGCTAATACTAATTAAAAAGCCATTGTCTGTGCTCAGCCAGAAGCATATTATACCAATTTCTTTCTTGGCAAACAACTCAGTGAAATGTTCCTCCTATATTAGCTATTTGGATTTCGTCATCCTGACGTTTCCCATTAGCTCTGAGACACTTTTCTTGATCCTTTACTGTTTGTTTGCTGTTATATTACTGCAAAAAACTGTTATCTTTTTTTAGCTATCATTCCAATATTTTTTTCTCTCTCTTCGTCTTTTTAATACTTCTTTTTACTCATGATTGCCATGTACGGTGCCTTGGTCAAGTATTGAGATCCGTGCACATTTTTCTCATGTTGTTGCTTTAAAGCTTGCAATCATAATTCTTTGAAGTATGACTTAATTTTTGTTACGTAAACTGCCTACTCTAAACTCTGCATCCAAATAAAAAGATGGAAGTAAATAGTAAGTAACAGTAAGTAAATAGGTCAAAGACTAGAAAGCACAGGCCCAAGCGGCTTACAAAATCAATTAAAAAATTCAAGAAGAAAGAAAGCAAAATGAACTGGATCCAGTTAAAGAGAAGACTCTCATGTTCGATTTTGTGAAATTACACATTTTTGCCTGCACATTTTTTTACTGAATATTTTATTCAAAACCTGAATGATGAAACTGAAGACTTCTCCAGATAAATTTCAGTAAATGTCTGTGAAACTGAAAAAAAAACTATGTTATCTTTGTATTCAGACCCACAAACTCAGTATTTAGTGGAAGTACTTTTGGCTGCCGTTGTTTTTGGGTAAGTTCACCAACTTTGAACACTGGCTTAGTGTACTTTTTACCCATGGATCTTGGTAGATTTACTCAAGCTCTCTCAAGCTTCTTGAGGTTCACATATGGATATCATTTTTCATGTTTATCCACAGATTTTCAATTGGATTCAAGTCAAGAGTTTGAGCCTCTCAAGGACATCCACTTTCTTACATATTCTCATTCGATTATTAAGCCTCCAGTGTAGCTCTGGCTTTGTACTTTGGCCTATTCTGCTGAAAGCTGAATTTTTGTCCCAGTTTTAGGTCTGCAGCAGGTTTTCCTGTAGGATTTGCTCCATTTATGTTCCCATTTTTCAATAAGCCTTTTGCCATGTATTTATAATATCACTAAGGTGCTTCGACTCCTTGCTGGATTTGAGATGATATATTTCATTCCATAGAACTCCCCTTTGATGAGTGATTCATGGACATTTTCTTCCATCTTAGACACTGAATTTAGTAACTCTTCCAAAGTTATTGTTGTCTTCATGTCGACATCCCTTGCCAATTTCCTTTTTGCCCGGCTGCTCAATTTGCAGTGACAGCCTGATCTAGGCAGTGTGTGTGTGTACCTTCCACTTCTTGGTGATCGGCGTCACCATCAGTGTCAATATCACTATGCTCAGAGAGATATTTGCTTGAAATTTACTACCTGACTTTGGGATCTGGATTGAAACGGATTGAACGTGTGTTACAGTGATGTGTCATGAACTTGTCACATCTAAGTGCTCCAGTATCTCAGTTGTCCCTTACATATCTGCTCTCTCCCACTCACATGGTTTGGAACATTGCGATTTACAAATTGACCTCTTCCATCTTGCTTGTCTCTCCAGAATGCTCTGTATTAATGTTATCTTCTTACGTATAATTTTCTGATAGCCATATTTTGGAATTCAGATCACTTCATAATAGGGAGAATGCTAATGAGATAGCTTCTGTTTCTTGCATTTAATTCGTTAAACTACTGGCTTTGAAGTATAAGCACTAAATTTACTGATGTTTTGATAGATTTTCCTTGGGTACTCTTTGTGACCGACTTTCTGCGTATCTCAGTAATCAAATATTTCTCATAAGTTAGTGTTTAACAGAACGTCAAACAGGCAAAAAGGAGAAAAGGCAATTCAAGCCAGAGTTATAAGGAGTAGCATTATCAGTGACTTGATTTATTTACTATTTTCAGCTGTTGTGACTTGTATTTATGACATTTAAGCACCTTAAAATAAAAATAACGTATTTAAACTTTGAGTTGATTGAATTTTTCCTTTTTCTCTGTTGAACTCTAGATTTTCCAAAAGGAAATTTTTTTTGTTGCTTTTAGATGTAATCATATAGAACAGATATTTAGTTGGGTTGAGGATGACTGGGGATACTTTGGTGTGATTT